GGAGAGATCCGAAGGAAATATTATAAATGCAAGAAATTGCAAGACATTTTTTTCCGTCGTTGGTCTCAGCAGAGTTTTGAATTTTATGAAGGCCATTGGCCTTTATGGCAAATTGTAAAGTGAAAATCGTAATATTAATTTTTTTTTATTGTTACTTATAAGAGTTGTTTTAAATTGAAAATATAATTGCACCGAATTTTAATATTTTAGCATTTTAAATAAAGTCTAATAGTTAACCAACCGTGCAGTGAACTTTTGCGAATGCAAACAACTTGTGTTTCGCGCGCTCATATGACCTTATGCAGTTGCGAGCGCCGTAAAACCCTATACTACTACCACTAACTCTAGGGGGCTCTCGGTGCCCAGAGGTTAAGGTGTTGGCCTTTCATTCAAAGGTCGTAGTTCGAATCCGGGTAGCGACCCTTCAATTTTCTTTTCTAAAATTGTCTCCTTTCACCTCCTTTCCTACTCTCTAGCAATGTTCTGTCGTCTGCTTTCGTCTCCTCTTTCTGCCCCCACCCCCTCGCCTCATTTGCCCCCTCCTCTGAGTTCCTGACTCTTTCTGCAGCCTTTCTACAGCTACTCCTTGGCTCCTTACTGCTGTCTTTCAGCCTCACCACTGATCTTCTGGTAGGAAAGATCTACATTTACCCTTCTCGAACTAGGACGAAAAATCTCGAAGGGCCCGTGTGCAAGTTGTGCACTTTAAAGATCCCTTGGTGGTCTAAAATCGATAAGAGTAGGTTTCGGACGCCACCCGTGCTAAATTAAAAAAATCTTACCCACTGAAAATGTTTAATGTGTCCCACGCGCTCATATGACCTTATGCACCAGTGACGAGCACAAGAACTTCATCCCCAGAGTTAGAAGATATTTTTTTCGGGAGTGACTGTTTCACGGTGCTCGCAACTGCATCATCATCTATCCCTCATTCATCCCCCCCCTCTCTCTCTCTCTCTCTCTCTCTCTCTCTCTCTCTCTCTCTCTCTCTCTCTCTCTCTCTCTCTCTCTCTCTCTCTTCCTAAATCTCCGATATTAGCAGCTCGCTTTTTCTTTCACAAGCTCATTCTCTTGTACAGCCCTCACGCCTAACAACGACCTTTATGGCATGTCTCTCTATCTTTATCGCGCCATTGAGCCGACATTGTTTTTTGCGTCTATTTGTGAGCCCCTTTCAGGTTCGTCTGCATGTATTCCTGCCCCAAGATCTCGCTACCTCCTAATTACAAAGTTCTATCTGGCGTTTTTGCCTTTTTTGAGTTACTAAGACCATGAGGTCAGAAACCAAATGCTTTGTCTACTCTATCAAACTCGTAAGATTAGTCGGAGTCGTTATCAAGATAGTCAAAGAACTGCATTGGAAAAAGCATTTAGTTTTACAAAGTTTTTACGGTGCTCGCAACTGCATACGGTCATATTATGAACGACAAAGGGTGGATGTCAGAAGAGAAGTCCAAACAGGGAATCAGTTTTACTCTGCTCACATCTCTAACCTCTACAGCACAAAGGCTTCTTCAACTATCAAGGCGCACCGGAAATAGCAGTTCACAAGAGAGTGACAAACATACAAAAGATGTAAAAGAAAAATGATGATAGTAAGGATGAGGAAAGAAAAAGCAGCAATTCCACCATGTTGCTCCGGCACAGTATGAGCTCGACATTTTTAAAAGTCAGCCCATTTACAATTCAACTGTACATAAGAACATGTTAAAATTCCCTCATTGGGAATGGCCAAAAGAAACTTCAGTCAGTAGCACTGCTCTGGTTTGTTGTGAAACTTAAAAAACTAAAAAAAACCTCTCAATAACCTCAATTTTCTGAAAACTGGGTACTGAGTAGATAGGCTGTGTAATTCTGAGGTAGCGATCTGTCCACCTGTCTGTCGTTTTAGTTTAAAAGAAGACATAGGTTGATACAATAATTTACACTATAGGACGCCTGAGCACCGGAGCACAGGGAATAAATATGAGCCCCCAGACTCTCGTCCAAGAACCACTCACAGATTTCTATTTTGTACCAAGACGAAATGGGTGTGACAAACACCTGTCTACTGGCTGCAGGGAGTAATGTAGCAATTTTATCTTTTTGGCTTTTTCGCAAAACCGCTGCCCCCCCATCCCCCTTCACACAGAAAAAAACCTTGAAATGTATGACCAAGCAATCTTTCCATTAAGTAATACTGTAAGGGTAAATAAGAAACGTTTCGGGTAGGCTTGTCAGGAATAAAATTTTAATTCAAATTGTACTGTAGACATCCCTGGTGTTGAACTTTTTCTCATTCTTTCCATCAGTGCTCGCGGAAAACTTTTTGTAAAATGACACAAAATGCTTACTGTGCTGTGTAACTAACAGTCTGTGGCACCTGATGATTTACGCAAAGATTGGGATACGGACTTAATGATATTCCTGGAATCTTATCCACCGTCACTATTAGAATTTAAGAGCTTTGTTGATATTTCAGTAACCAAATCGAAAGTGACAATCCCTTCAAATCGTCCTGCTAATTTTCTTTGATCTGTTTTCTTAGTAGTAGCTTGCACTACTTCAAGAATTGGTGTTCTATTTATTTCTTTCCTTATTTCAAAGTTTTCGTCATTTGTCTTTTCAAAATGTCTTCTGATCATCTATATCTTGCATATGGCTGGTACATGGGTACTTTAACAATCTGCTTCAGACAATGATTTTGTTCATTTTTATATTTCTGAAGATAAAGTCTATAAAATATGATTTATAGGTCTCTCCACAGGACTCTTTCTTGTGTATCACCAAAGGAAACTAATTTAAAAAATAACATGTAGCTCTGTCCATCAATGCCGTCTCCACTTTGCACTGCAGATCAAGTGACGTCACAGAAAGATGGATTTCCGTCGCAGTTTAAGGCAGGTTCGGGAGTACAATATGGAGCCCACAGAAGAGGGCAGTGGTGGGGGAGCCAAACATCTTCTTGTAGGGGCCAGTGTCTGTAAGTTATGATTATCGTCGTCGCTGTTGTTGTTATTACTGTTGTTGTTGTTGTCGTGGTTGTTATTACTGTTGTTGTCACTTCTGTTGTTGTGTCTATAATTATTGTTGTTGTCATTGTTTGTTATTACTATTGTTGTTGTTGTTGTTGTATGTTATTACTGTTGTTGTTGTTTCTATTATAGTTGTTGTCGTTGTTGTTGTTGTTGTTGTTATTATTGTTGTTGTTGTTGTTGATGATGTCATTACTGTTGTTGCTGCTGTAGTTTCGATATTGTTATTACTGTTGTCGTTGTTGTTATTACTGTTGCTGTCGTTGTTGTTGTTGTTGTCGTTGTTGTCGTTGTTGTCGTTGTTGTCGCGGTTGTTGTTGTTGTTGTTG